TTAATGAATTTGTTGTTTCTAATGTTTGTTTATTTTCTTTAAAATTTGTTGATTGATTTGAAGTATTTGTGGAGGATATACATTCAATTCCTTGAGTTTTTGGTTCGAGTAATTGAACACTATCTAGAAATTGAAAAAAGAAAAAATAATTTTAAATAGAAAGTCAAATTTAAGATACACCCCTCTTAGTGAATGAAAAAGTTGGAGCCCCCACCATTTGCCCCTCCCCCACAACCCCCCCCCCCCCCCCCATTATTTATTATTGGGTGTATCTTATAGTAAGGGGATTAACTCTAATCACTTTTACTAAATAATCGAAAAAATAAAAAATCAATGCAGCACATAATAAAAAGGTTTTTTCATTATTTAATAATAGAATATGTATTAAATTGTAGTAGATTAAATAATATTTTAATTTATTTATTTAATAATTATTTAAAATTAAATATAATTTATATTTATTTATTTTCTGTACTAATATTTAACAATAAAATAAGCACAAAGACCTTTCCTTTCTTTCCTTACAAAAATATTTTTTAAAGATGAATCAATTCCCAAATCACACAAACATTCGATTACCCCCCCCCCCTCCCATCTTTTACAAACAGACTGGTTCGATAAAATAAAAGAGCACCCTTCTTCTTTCCCAAAGATCTAAATAAAATAAATAGTCTTTTTTAAGATATTCGCCGAACAGATAAATAAATAATTCCTTCTCCCGTTCAATTTAAATATTTTTAAAGTTTTTTAACAGAAAATCAATAAGGAGGGTACGATATTTAGATTTTTACTAAATAATTTTTTTACTACTAAGAAAAACTTATTGACAAAACTTATTGACAAAAAATTCTTCAGATATTTGTTGCTTTTTAGATCATTAAAAGAAACTTTTTCGTTTGTTCTCTCGGGAATAAGCCGCCTAAATATTGGAGTTTGCCTTAATTATTCCTCCTCTATTTTTATCCTCTATTTTTATTATCCTCTATTTTATTTTTATCCTCTATATTATCCACCTATATTTTTATTTGAAATTAAAAACAAACAAACTTACGTTTCAATATAAGAATGTGTTTAGCAGGAGGTCGTGGGGATCGAATACGTCTTCGTGTTGATGATGAACGTATTTGCAAACTTTGTGCAAAAGTAGCAGTCCAAGTTGGAGGGGAAGAAGTTGTTGGTAATTCATTATTTTCAGTATTTTGATGAATTAATGAATGTTCTTTTGATTTTCCTTTTTGAATATGTCCAAATGAATTACTTCGATTTTTTGTAGAATTTTTAATTTCCTCATCATTAAATCTTTCATTTATTTTTTCTTCTTCTTCTAATTTTTTATTTTGACTGTCATTTGTTGTTGTCGAACAAAGATAAGATAAAGAGGTGGATGAAGAAGAAGACGGGGATGATATTGTTGGTTGGTGATGACAAACTTGTTCAATTTGTGCTTTTGGACAAAGTAAATTTGGGCGAATTGAAGGGTCTTTAAAAAGAATTAAAAGTAAAATTTTTGTAGATTTTTTGTTTGGATATTTTAGTTTTAAGACTTTTCACTATTCTTATATCCACCACTGTATCTCTCATTTGTTCCCTCTCTAAATTGTTTCATCCCTCACGTACTTAATTGACAAAACCCATCACAAACACAGCAAAAGACAGGACCCCCCCCCCCCCCCCCCAATTAATCCTCAAAGTTCTCCAAAATAAAATTGTTATTCACCAATAATCTCCCCCCCCATCCCGACTGGTGAATTACTTCATCAACATTACATATTGTTCAAAAATTTTTTTTTTTTTGAACAACCTTTGCGTATTTTTGTAGATATTCTCCTTTGTTCAACTCTCCCTCTTTGTGAGGGTCGTCTAGAGCCGACTAACGATGGAGATGAACTATCATCACTTCCATCACGTCTTCTTATTGTTAATTTCCTTTCTATCTAAAATTTTTATTTTTTCAAAAAAAAATTTTTAATTTTTTGCCTCCTTCCTTTCAACATTATTTAATTCTGCTCTACTCATTGAAAGTTGTAAAAGAGAAACATGTAAATCATGCCATGCAGCAATTGCACTCACTAAACGGCGTGACACCATATGATCTAAAATTTGAGAAGATTCTCCTCCAGAAGATTCTTGTCTACTTCGTTGACGAGAAAGTGGACCTTTTTAAGTTAATTTTTAATTTTTATTAGTCAACCTTTTGTTACAATAAAAGTTACCTCTCCTATACCATTTATCTCGGTTCGGCGCACTCTGCGAACGCCAAGTGAAAGGTGAAGAAGCAAATCTTCGTCGATTTTGTTCTGTTGAAGAACTCATTCTCAGTAGTATTTTAATATTCCAAAAAAATTATTTTTTGGGGGAAATTCTTAAAAAATGTAAATAATTTCAGACTGTGACTAAGGAAAGATTTTTACAAAAAATCGTCATTTAAAATCTGTAAATTACTTTTAAAGGAGTTGAAAGTAAAAAAGCAAAGAAATTCAAATTATTTTATATAAAAATTGTTTTTGACATTTTAATGCCGAAAATAAAAATTAAAAAGTTTTTTTAATGTTTGTCCCTTAAAAGTTATTTGTTTAGACAAAAATTTCATTTAAGGGCCATTAACGATAAGTAAAATGAATTAATAGGCATATTCTGGAATTTTTTTCTTTTAAGTTTCTTTTCTCCTTTAACTTCAATTAACCACGTGGAAAACAAAATTTAAATAAAACATTAAATGCCCTCTTCTTCTTAGTTAATCAACAAAAAAAACTTTTTTATGGTTTATCGGATCTAAACTAAAGTAGCTAAAGTCACGAATAAGGCATATTTAATGAACTAGCAGAAGAAAAACCTTCGTCGTTCCTCTATTAGCAAAAATCATTACAGCTATCTATCATAAATACCTGTAACTTAATTTGAACTCAATTTTAATTTCATTAATAATTTTTAGCTATAAATAAAATGAAAAAAAGAAAAAAATTGATAAACATTTAAACATTGTATTGCTGAAATCGATTAGAGATGAAAATGAAAATAATCAGGGACCACCTCAACAATTTCCCAATTTTGTAAACAAATTTAATAATCTGTTCGCATAAAATACATATGTACATATATTATATGCATAATCAATGAAGTCCAATTTTAACTCAAAGTTCGAGGCTTAAACCGTTGAAATTATAACCAAACAAAAGCCAAATATCTTAAAAGTGTATTTACATAATTCTGGTAAAATACGGGCTTTCGTCTAGGTATGAAATTAAATTTAATCCCCCAAATTAACAAGTTTAATTAATTATATTGACAAAATTTCCCAATATTATTAAATATTTCCCATCAATAACAAAATTTAAACCAAAATATTTTATCTTAAATTGCATAAACAATTAAATGATAGCTAAAATAAAAGCATCAAAAATCAAAAACTAAATAAATATGTCAGAAATTCTGAGATGAAAAAAGAAACATTTTAAAATGATGGAAAAATAACTGTTTGTATTAATTAGGAAAAATTGAAACAAAAATATTAAAATTTTTGTTGGGACTTAAAGAGGTTTATATAATTAAAAAGTTCAAAAAGTAAGAAAAGTAAATTCCAGGAAAATATTCTCAGATTCCAAAATTTGTTTTACCAATTCTTTTTCCTCCTCTATCAATACTGTGCAGTTGGCCTTTAATAAATTGTTTCAAATTTTTAACCAAAAAATTTGGTAATAATTACATGTTTATGGGCCTCGTTTTTCCTTTCTTCCTTTCTTATTTTCGGAAAATAGTAGTAAAAATTAACACCAGGGAAATCTATAGTGGAAATGAAAGGAATAAGAAGACCCACAAAGTGATTATTACCGAAATTTTTAAAATCTTTTTTACCAATTGTAATCAACAGGTTTGACATCTTGTGCAGCTCCACCACCATACCCAGCAGCAGCAGAAGCGCCGTACCCAGCACCAGCAGCTCCACCATAACCGGCACCGCCATATCCATAATAGTCACTGCCATATTGTCCATACTGACCCTGTAATGAAGAATAGTTACTACAGCATATGCGGCTATCTGTTGTTGCATGGCCCGAATAACTTCTTGAAACCTTTCTATTATAGTAGGTAAAAAAATTTCGAATTCAAAATTTTTCTGTTTTCTAAAGTATAAATCGGTATAGGTTTCAAGAATGGGAGCAATTTCAGGCACAACAGGTATGTATATAAATATAACTAAAGATACATATTGCTGAGATGGCGCTGAAAGCTCCGAACCACCACCAGCTGCAGCACCACCAGCACGTGGTAGTGCTCCTCCTTTTCCGCCAATGCTGTTATAATTCACATGAGACGGAATTTTGGCGTTAACGGTTGGAAATAGTTCAATATATCTACAAAAACACATTGATAAATTTGAAAGAAATTAATATACCGAGATCCAATACTTTCGCGATCTTTGCTTAAAGCTTGGCGAGCATCTGCCGGTGTTTGAAATTCAACAATACCATCACCACTTGACCGGCCATCAGGCATCGCTCCAATCTTTAGAATTATTTTATTTAGAATTATTTTACAACTAAAAATAAAAACCTGTATGTCAACAAGAACTAAAGGTGCGAAAAATCGTTCAAGCTCCGCAGCAGTAATTCGGAATGGAATACCACGCATATAAACCTGCAAAAAATATTATAAATTTTTTCGAAAAAATGCATAAAAATACTTTAGTAGGCCCAACAATACTATCTTGATAACCACCATATCCAGCACCGCCCCCATAACCTCCACCTCCATAACCATCATCATATCCACCCCGATAATCACCGCCACCACGATTGCCTCGTCCACCATGACGACCTCCTCCTCCTCCCCCTCCACCGCCATAACCGTAACCTCCGCCATAGTTGGGATATGGTGAATAGCGATTAGAAGGTGCATCTAAAATAAAAAATTGAGAATAACTTTTTTAAATATATACGCCTCAAAATAGACAAGACCAAGACTTGAACCCAAACTGAAAAACCCAAAAGAAAAGGCTTGTGTCAGGACCAAACGTCATTATTAGACTTTTTACTTAATAAAATAATACCATTATATCCTCTTCCATATGGACGTCCGCCTCCACCACGTTGCTCATAGCCAGATCTAAAGTATTTAATTTTTTTGTTATATTAAAATACAAAATAAAATCTATACCCAAATGAATATCCACCACCATAATGATCACCGGGACCAGGTCCATACCCATATCCGCCTCCACCATAGCCATATCCACCACCATATCCAGGCCCCCAATCTGGAGTAGACTGCGCTAGAGCTTTCAAAGGGACAATGTTGTTTTGTGAACGCAATTTAAAAGCTTCAAATGCAGCTCCATCACTTTTGAATATTTCCAAGTATCTAAAAGTTAAAAATTATAGCAATGCAGTACCACATTAGTATAAGAGAAAAGATAAGAAACATCAGAGAATATAGGAAAGTTGGTAAGAAAATAACATAAATTCTTACCAAAGAGTCTTCAATTTTTTTAAATTTATTTTTTATTTTAAATATAAGTTGAGTTCAATTAAAATTGAATAATTCTCTATTCAATAAAAATATATTTAGACATTGATACCAAAGTGATCAATTTAAGAAAAATGAAACAATTTAAGAAAAAAGAGCAGCTAACCGACAAAACATCAAAAATTATTGATCCATACCTTGTCCCCATATGTTGCCCATTAAGTTGCAAAGCCCGTTCTGCCTCTTCGGAGGCGCCGAATTTCACAAACCCCTCTCCCGTTGGTCGCCCCTCTAGCCCGGGTTCCTTCCCAAAGACAACTTCCTCCACTGTCAACCCTGAGCAAAAACAATTTTTCTTTAACTAAATATTTTGAAAACCGTATTCACACTAAATGCAGTAATAGACTTATTGTTAGACAACTCCTTTATTCTACAAGTATGTTAATGTCGAAAGAAAATATTAATTTGTAATCAAAATTTTTTGATAAAAAAAAGACTTAAATTAGAACATATTTTTTGTTTAAAGAAATAATTTGTATCAAAAACATTCTATAGAAATATAACTGAAGAGGCCTAGAAATTTTTTTATTGAATATTTTTCTGTCAACAATTTTTGATTAAAAGTTAACATTTTCTGCCTACTTTGACTAATTGTCCAATGAAAAAAAAGAATTAGTATTGAAAATCCATAGTAAGTACCGAAAATAATTTGCATTTAGTGAAAATACGGTCGAAGCACGAAAATTTTTAACTCAAGAATAAAAATTTCCACACTCATGGACCATAACAACCAAACCAGTTTAAACTCTTAGAGTGGTCTGGTAAGCCCAAAGAGACTCAAAATTTACAAAACTCAAAATAAAAACAAACCTTGAAAGAATTGCTGAACTTGGTCTTTTGTGCAAGTATAGGGGAGACCGCGAACACGCACAAAACCTTTAGTCGCCATAGTGCGTTTCATATGTAAACGTTTCATCAGTTGCTCCATTTCAATATCGCTTACTTGGAAAACTTAAAAAGAATTTAATTTACAAAAAATTAGAGACAAGAGCCAGTAAAATATTTAAAAAAAACCTTCAATATAACGGCTGCCAATTGTTTGACGATCTTTAGATTGAGCATCAGAAGCCTCTTGTCGAGTTCCAAATTGCACATAACACTCACCAGTAGGCTTTCCATCAATGCTACTTGTGAAACTAACTTCAACAACATTCCAATCTAACAAATTTTATAAAAAAATAAAGTAAATCCCCAAGTTTAAACCTTCAAAAAATTTTCTAACGTCACTCTCCGATGCAGAATAGGGAAGTCCACGACAACGAAGGTAACAAGCAGCATCTTAACAAAAAAAGAGGTTAATAAAAAAGAAAAGAAGAAAATATTATTTTTTTAGAATCAAGCCTTGGTTTTGTTGTGGTTGTTGATAGGAGGAATATTCAGTTACCGGATAGTCATCATTTAATTCACCTTTTTGTGAAAACTTTTGCAATTCATCAGATGTTTCCCCATTAGACGGTGCAGTGCCGTCAGTGGCTTCTGTCATAGTTCCGTTCATCAGAAATTTATAGCTAATTTCAACAACACGATTCACAAATTAAAGAAGATAAAATCTAAATTCGTCAAATAAATGATAAAATCAAATAAAAAATCAATTTCTAAAAATTTTGTCTGATTGTAAAAATCGATTTTATTTTACTGTTACAGTACATATAAAGACAGTCGTTTTAAAAAACTGTTTTTAAATATAAATATTTTAGGCAACTGTTTCATCACCACAGTAAGTTCTATAACTAGTGATCGGATTTTCCAAAATATTTATGATGAATTAAGCTAAGATCCGTAGTGATTTTTTCTAAAATCATTTATTTACGGTGAAAGTTATTGTCACCTATTTAAACCAGGGTTGCGATCAAGAAAATGTTTGTAAGTACGAAAAGCCTAATTGAACAAAAAGCTTAACTCCACCAAACTTTTGGAACTTCCCAAACTCAAAACCGACAAAATTTTAGAACCGTTAGCAGGAGCTGAGTAACCGTTTTTACTAAATTCTTTCACACACACCATTATAACTTTATATACAGGTTTTATTTACAATACAAACAAAAACAAGGTAATAATACATATGTACAACAATAGGCAAATTATTATGGAACGAGGATAATCGAATTATTATCACATTTACTATCCAACAGCATGTTCCTATCCAATCGGCTGATGATCATTCCTCCTCTTTGCTACTTATTCCGCGATCAACGGCACGTTCAGTTTGAACTCCGACGAACTTCCAGGAGGAAACAGCGCCTTTGCTTCGGTAGCATCTGCTGGAGCAGGAATGAAGTGAACTTCCAGACGACCATCAGCTTTCGGAGGGCCTTCCTGAAGAAACAAAAATTTATTTTATATGATCTTTTGCCTTCTTTCACCGTTCGACGCACAAGAACCGCAGCATTACCGGACGCGTCGACAAAACCGAATACGGGGTTGACACGGTAATGATCGTTGTCGGTGCACTTGACCTTGAAGGCATAGCGACCCTGTAAAAATGGTTAAACTACATTAGAAGCCCTAAACACTAAATAAAATGATGCATACCTCAGCGCTGCTGTTCTTCAGCTGTAGCGTGATTTCACCTCCTGCAGCGGGCACCTGAATTGACTCCGGATCGAGCGATACTGCCATCCTTGATGAGATGTTGTCGATCGTTGAAGTGTAGAGTAGAGCAACTGTAAAACCCGGAGATGGAGAGCGCTTTTATATGTACTTAGATGCACGACGGCCAAACTCCAAAATAATGACAAAAAGTAACTTTTAACAACGTCAATGAACAATTCAACTCCGAAGATGTAGTATTAGGGTCATTCCAAAAGAAAATATTACTAAACCGCCATTTTTGGCGTCGAGGTAGAATATTTAGAGCAATCTCAAAGCTATAAGCGAGGTTGCTCCTGTATCACCTTACTGTAGATAACAATACATAGGGAGAATAAATGGCTACCAACTTTATATTCTGACAATTCCTTAACTTTTTATAAAATAATCATTTTTTGTTCAATAAATTCAATAAACGCTCTCGTTATTCAAATTTATGATAGCATTTAACTCTTGACAAAAAAATCAAAGTTCTTTGGATCATTAATGACGTACAGATTAAATGAAATTATATTTGATAAAAAGTATTAATCAAAAATTTTGTAGTTTACACTCATTTTTTAAAATACGTCTTTCATCCAAATACAAGGTGTGTTCTACATAGGAGAGAGAAATGTGCGAAGCTGCCGCTGTAGATCAAAATAGTTATATGCGATTTTATGGAGTAATAGGAAAAGGCAATCAGAGGGATAACCAAAAGACTAAAACATGATAAATTATCCATCCCACAGAAAAGAATGAGGTACTTTTGTTATTATCCCACCATTTAGTTTTCTTCTCCTTTCCTTATCCCTTCTCCAGAAAAGGAGCATCGGCTTTTTAGAACCCATGGTCCAGTATTGTGATTATGTATCAGAACTTAACTTGATTAGAGCTCTCGTTTCCAAAAAAATTTATGGCAAAACAGTGAACTTATTGCAAATAGGTGGTACATACACCTAGCGTTGGCATTGGTTCTAATTAAATAGCTGGCGACTTACAATGGAAAGTACTTTTTTGGAAAAAGGAAGGTCAAGAAAACTAAATGGTGGGGGATAACTGAAAGTATAAAGAATGAAATTTAGATTCACTGTTAAGGTTCAAGTCTTTTGATACTCTGAAAAAATATATGGGAGATGAAGGTTAAGCAAATAACGACAAATTTTAATCTCACTGCGGAACCATAACCGAATGAGACATATTTTTAAGCGTTTTTTCGAAAAAAATTAATTTTAATCAAGTCAAAGATTGTTTAGGATTAAAAAAGTTTCAGGATTTCTTTCGGTTAAGGTTTTTGATCTTTGATATTTTCTTAAAAGAGAAGCATTTTTTATTCTTTTTACGATGAACAAACGGTTGCCGAGACTATATTCATTGCTGTGGTTGTACTGACGCTCCTGCTCCGTCTGTTTGGTTAGTAACACTCGTGTTTGGATTGTTCATTGTAGCCTTTTGTTTAAGAAGAGTCCAATCGAAGGTATAGTCATACTTAAAATTTTAATTTCTTTAATATTAGATAACTTCTTACAAATTGGTGAACGGATCTTAACAAGAATGTATAGAAGGGAAATGTGAAAAAATGAAAATGACAGGTGTAAAACCGAGAGCCGAACCGAAAAATTATCGATTCAGTTTCAACTCTATACCCCCATGCCAGAATATAAAGAAACTAGCGGACATTATTATCCTGGTGACAAAAATATCTAACAATTTAGGAAAGCTTAAATTTGGCTCAACCACTTAACTTATTCTATTTGATCACCAGTAAGTAATCATTTCTAATATTACGCCCACCTCTAAGGTTTTGAAAAATAAAAGAAACCTGATGATTCAGTGTGCGAAAGAGAATGCGAAATAGCTGGCGCAAATACATATAATCAGGCGCCTCGTCAAAACGCAACCCGCGACAGTAGTTCAAATACATAGAAAACTCAGAAGGGAAGCCCTTACATAGAATTTCCACTGGTGTAGACATTTTCTTAAAAAGGAAATTTTAGCAAATAAAAAAATTAAATGTTGCTTAATGGGAATAAATTTCTTGAAAATTTGGTAATTCCAAGGCTGCCCCCCCCCTTTTTTTCTGTTCCCTGACCATTTTGAGCTTTTTTGCTTGACGTATAATTTACAATTTATCATTCGAAAGAGCTGGATTTGGAGATTCTGAGCAGAATTATGAAGCTAAATCCGCGATGGACATGCTTTTTGTGATGTTGAAAGGGATTAAAACAAATGGTCATAACTAAGTTTATTTAAGTCGGATTTAGATGATTTTAGTACCGTTCGACTCAGTCAAAGAGCTCTTTCGACCGATATATAATTTGGCATAAAAAGTTTAAAAAATCGAAACAAATAGAAAGGAAAAAAAGAGAGGGCCAGCCTTGGAATTACCGAAAATTTTAATAAATTTTCATTTAGTTCCAGAAAAGTTAAAAATAAATAGGTATTTCATAAAAGTTTTTAATGAACATATAACACACCATTATAAATTTAAAAAATCCTTAAAAATTTAAAAATACCTTTTCGCTTATTTTCTCATACTTCTGCTTCTTATTGGCTGCCTTCAATCCTTGCCAGCTGTTAAGAAAAAGGATAAAATATTAGAAGTGTGAAAATAAAAAAATCTAAATATTCTTACGGCAAATTTCCACGATTGAAATACATAAGCACATAACCCAAAGACTCCATATCATCACGACGCGACTGTTCAATACCTTAAAAGAAGTAAACACATTCCCCTCCCAATTGTGATTCTTTCCCTGAAATAATTCAATCACAAACCCATATGAGCATTAATAGACGCATAACGAGCAGTTCCGGTGAGGTTTTTATTATCACGAAAAGGGATATGAATTCGAGTGCGCGAGTCACGATATTTCTTCGCAAGCCCAAAATCAATAATGAAGAGTTTGTTGCAATGACGTCCAATTCCCATCAAAAAATTGTCTGGCTTAATGTCCTGAAAAAGAGAAAAGTTTAAAAATTAAATTTTAAAAAATACTCGATGTATGAAGTTTTTGACATGCATATACTCGATTCGACCAATCATTTGATCGGCCAACATTAAAACTGTCTGAAATAAAATGTTACAAAACTATTCTGATAAATTAAATGGTAAAGATAAAATAATCAAAATAAGGAATTAGACGGGATACGTGACCAAACCATATGATTTAATCAGCTAAACCGAACTTAAATATCTATTTGTATATATCCAAAGAATTGTTTCATATACTCTTGGTATTTTTCATAACAATATAACAAACATGTTAAAACCTGACCGGGAAATTATTTTCACTATTTTTATTTTTGACTTATCAGCATGAGGGAGATTTTTCGTCCTCTATATGAAAGAGACGAGAGAACCATCCAGACCCTTTTTATTAAAGAACCTTCATAGTGAAACGTCGACTGCAAAAGTTGAAAAGATCTTCAAGTGAAGGTCCCAACAAGTCCATCACAAGACAATGGTAATCCCGTTCGATTCCATAGAAACGAATATGCGGAATACCAACACCTCCTTGTAAAATTTTGTAGACTTTGCTTTCATAAAGTAATTGCGGATGACGAGCCTAAATTAAAAATTAGCTTCAAACGATTTAAAAGGTATAAACTGGAAATTTTAGATTTTGGGCTCAATTTTATTTTTCTTATTTTCGTTTATTGGAGAATATTAATCAGAAAGTAACAATTAAATAAGGAAACGAGAATTGTGAGAAGCGTCACATTCCCATTTCCGATGATCACGAAAAACTGTTCGAATAACGATTCCGAATGTGGAGGCCAAAGCACTACCCTCATGAAACAATTACTTTAAATTAATCATTTTTGACTGATTATTGGCAGAGGTAAAAAGTAAGGAGGAATTTAAAGTCCAAAATACCCCCCAAACAAACCTTCACTGATTCCAACTTAACAGCAACCTCCTCACCATTTTGTATGTTTATTGCAAGATAAATGTCACCAAACGAGCCACTCCCAATCTTCCTTTTAAGTTTATATTTAATTCCAACGATAAATTCCTTCAAACAATAAAAATTTAAAGAAATTTTTAATAAAAACATACTTTGCTACTATTTTGAGAAACCACTGCAGCCATTTATTTTAAACGGGGATTTTTTGAAAGTAAAAGAGTCTTTTAGTATATAAGTTGCGCAAAAGAAATTTTAAAAAATATTTTGATGCGCCAAGCTAATACTTTAAAATTTATATATTAGATAAAAGCTAAAAAAATATAAAGGGAAACGATTAATTTCAAGAAAAAATCAATAAAATCAAATAAATAACCAAAAACCTTAAATCATTTTCAAAATTAAAGAATAAAAAATGTCTATGTAAAAACGTCTACTATATTGCCAATCTAGTTATCAATTAATTTCAAAAATGAAAAATATCATACAGACAACCCACGATAATTTATGTTTCACATTGGTTCAAATCCGTTAACAGACAGCTCATAGCAAACAGAAAAAAAAGAAGAAATGGTCAATAAATGGGAAAATTATATAATGGTCAGAAACGGAAACCTAAAAAGTCAAAAGGGAAAGAGTATATTTATTAATTAATTAAGTCAGAGCATGCTAATTTTGGTGTTACTGACTCATTGTCAACTCGGCTTTGTTTATTTTTATAACTTTGTCAAAACTTGAATCCTCTTCCTTGCTTCCCAAGTGTCCACTCCGCTGTTTACTGTTCAAGTGTTCATTGTCTATATGTCCTGGAGCCGAAAAACAGGCTAAATGGACGAAATGTAAATTGGCATTTTGTCTGAGCACAAACATGCACAATTCGTCCCAACCCCAATTCTTCCCAATTCAAAATGTCCAATAGAGTAAAAATGTTCATTTATGTATCTCGGTACTTTATGGATATGTCACCCCCCTCCTATTTTGAGTCTCAGATTTTCCTTAAACGTAGAAAATGGTCAGAGATTATTTTCTTCTCCATGTCAATCATTTTTTCTTCTTCAAGTATTTTGCTTTTTTATTTTGTCTTTTCCCATATTTTGTACTTACATTTCACTCATTTCGTTTCTACATTTACCACATTTCACT